CAGGTTGAACTCGGGTCCTTGCACTTGCAAATGAAGTATTTTTAAATGAGGAAATTGTTGTTTCATACTTGCCCACATAGTTGCCATTTTTGAGTGTGCTTCTGTTTAGGGATCTTTCCTCGTGGTGGCCTTTGTCTCTCATCTGAAGAATTTCATATGCCTTCATTTTATTTATTTATTTTGGAGACAGGGTCTCACTATGTAGTTCAGGCTGCCCTAGAACTCACTATGTAGCCCATGCTGGTCTCAAACTCACAGAGATTCTCTTGCCTCAGCCTCTCAAGTGCTGGGATTACAGGCGTGTGCCACCACACCCGGCTTTTATTTTATTTTTTTAAAGTGCAGTCTTGCTGTTGGTGAAATTGTTTACCTTTTGTTTTTTCCACAAAAGTGTCATTTTTCCCTTATTTTTGAAAGATACTGTAGCTAAGAAGAATTCTGTCTCCCCCCTTGAGTAATTGATACGTTTCAGTTGTCTTCTGATTTGTGTAATTTCAGAGAAATCTGTTACTGTTCTTTGATTTGTTCGTCTGTATGTTTGTTAAGAATTTGTTAGTTTTCATTAAGTTTATTCTCTTTCAGTCTCATTGATTTTCTAGATCTGGGGGTCTTTGGTTTCACCAAATTTTGAGACTGCCATTAGTTCTTCAGATAATTTTTGTTTTTTCTGCCCCTGACCCCCACCGTTTGTAAGACTCAGTTTCATGTAAGTTACACTGAGTTATTGTTTCATAGGTCACTCACTAATGCTTTGTTCCCTTTCTCAGTATTTTTTCATGCTTTTTATGTAGTGTCAGGTCTTTGGATTCGTTGCTCTTTCCTCTGTTAATCTGCTATTAATCCCAGCCAGTGTGATTTTCATTTCAGATACACTTTTCATCATTAATAGTTTGATTGTGGCTTGTTTTTAATTAATATAAAACTTTCATTTTTCTCCTAATTATATTTGTTTTACTCTAAACATAGAGTACATTTAGAATAGTTGTAATCAAATATTACTGATTTTTCATCTGAGTAATTTCTGCTTTTCATCCCGCCCCTCTTAAGTACTAGGGATTTAGAACCTTTGTACTGAGCTACACTTCCTTTTACATTTTTGAATTAATTTGAACAGGCTGTGCTCGCATTTGGGATTCTTCTGCCTCAGCCTCCCAGAGTCCTGGGATCACAGGTGTGTGCCACTGCCCTGGCTTTTCCTGGTCTGGTATAGTTTACTCTCATAGAGGCACAGAGAGGATTCGGCCGGCCTCCAGGGAAGAGCCCCACAGACCGGGGAGCTTGCTGTGGGCTCCCTTCTCCACCCACACATCGCCCCCTCTCTACCTCGGACCCTCTGCTGTCCCTGCTCCAAGCTTCTGTGGGCAGTCAGTGTGTGCCCAAAGGCACGTTCATGCTGTCACTTGTCCTGTGTGCTTATTACTAGCATTTGAAAATCTTTCTTTTCTTTTCCTTGATTCCTTACTGTTTAAGTAAAGCAGAAAGGTAAATCCAAGCCCTTGTTACTCGTTTTAGTTGAGGCTTCCTATTCTTAATTTATTCTAAATGTTTCTGACTTTTCTTTCCATATTTCTAAATAACAGTTGTCCTATTCCAAGGCCCCATGGGAACAAACTCTGCAGAAGCCCAACACCCTGATAAAAAATGGTGTAGTAGTCACATATAACATACATATATCTTCCCATTTACTCTACTTTAAATGTCTCTGGGTTACAATACCTAATACAGTGTAAATGCTGTGCAAATAGTTGTTATAGTGAATTGTTTAAGGAATAATAAGAAAGTGTGCACATGTTCAGTGCATAGTTTTTTTTTCCTCTAGTATGTTTGATCCATGATGAGGAACTCAAGGTCATTTTATACATGCTTATATTGCTATTTCTTGATTCCAGATTTAGATATCTGTTGACTCTTTGCTCAACTCTTTTTTATTATAACTATTATAATTTTTGTCTAAGCCAGTATTATTATTGTTTGCATTATTTTAATACAGTAACTAATTTTACTTGCTGAGCCAAAAGTATGTGCTTTGACCTTTCCTATCTCGTATGGCTTTGGTTTATCATTTGCTTCATTTTCAAGATGTGTGTGCTGCTGATTCTTCACCTTCCTAGTCTGTGTCTTTGTCTACATGGTCAACTGCACCATCAGATGATAATCACTCTCCTCCCCACCCACCCTCTTACTCTTCTCCCAAACACCCTGAGCCCCTCCCTGCGCTGTCCTCCAGTTCCGGGTGTATCTGTGTAGTCACTGCTACAGCACTTACCTTCATTGTTGGCTAGTATCTGATCTCTCTGTTCTTTTGGATGTTTGGCTTCTTTATTCTGGAGAGACATATCCTCAGAGTTTTATGGAAAAGGTGATTTCGATACTACACTGAGATATTATATTTGAAGCTGTTTTTATTCTGCCCTTTGATAGAGTTGTTGGATCAGAAATTATTTTCCCTCTTAGAATTCGGAAGTTATTGTTCAGTTGTCTTTTAGCTTCCGGTGTTGCTATTAATAGTCCTTATAGTATTCTTAACTTTTGTTTTCGTCTCTGTGGACTGATTTTTCTCTCTGGAAACTGTGAAGGTCTTTTCCCTGCTTGTTTGAAATTTTGTGGCATTGTGCCCTGGTTAATGTCCCTTCTTCTCACCCATTGTACTTGTACTGGAGCACTGGAGAGTCTTGACTGAGTGCTGAGCAATGTCCCAGCCCTTTTTAAAAATTTTTTGAGGCAGAGTCTCAATAAGTTGACCTTGAACTTGATCTTCCTGTTAGCCTCTAGAGTGGGTGGATCACACAGGTCTTGCATGATCAAGGGGTGGGTATAGTGCTTACAGTTCGGCTGCAACCAGAATTGTAGGGAGAATTAAGTTCATGAACTGAGGTACCACGGTATTGCCTATGTTTGTGTGAAATTTTCTTACATTTTACTTGGTGATTTCCTCCCCCATTTTTTCTTTTCTTTTCTCTTTACTATGGATACTGTTCTTGGATTGATTGTCTTGCCTAACTTTGAATCTGTTAGATTTTTAAATTATGGCTATCAGACTTAGCTTTTCAGTGTTTTATATTTTTATCTGAATGTTTGTTACACAGATGTTCAGGAATACATCTGAAATTTGTGGACTTTATAAGTTACACTTAGACAACTGAAAATAAATGAAAAGGTGGCACATTCATGTTTATGTTCTGGTGTTTTTATCTTATTCATCTTTCGTGGATGCCATTGAATTAGTGCTTTTAATTAAAGATTTGTTTATTTGTTTGTTTGTTTGTTTGAGACAGACAGGTTCTCACTGTGTAGTTGAGACTGCCCTGGAACTCACTATGTAGCCCAGGCTGGTCTCGAACTCACAGCGATCCTCCTGCCTCAGCCTCCCGAGTGCTGGGATTACAGGCAGGCACCACCGTGCCTGGCTTAAAGATATTTTTTTGTTCTCCACCCTCTTGTTTCTTCTTGTCTGTTCTTTTGGTGTTTGTTTGTTTGTTCAGGAAACACTGAACTAAAGAGAAACACCACTTCAGGAAACACCACTAAAGAGGTTCAGGAACATTGCTTCGTGTGATATTATAAATGCTGTCTTATCTTTATTACTGAACTTTAACACTTGACACAAATGAGATAGTATCATATAGAAATACATTTAAAGTTTTCATACATCAGAGTCCTCAAACGTTTTTTTGTTTTTTGCTTTTTGGTACCAGAGCTTGAACTTGGGCCCTTGTGCTTTCAAGGCAGCCGGCAGAACCACTGAGCCAAATCCCCAGTCCTAAGGTATATTTTTTTAGTATAAATCTTAATCTGGTGTTCTCTGGTCCCATTCTTACGTGTGTGATTCAGATTTCTAATTCACTAGTTGTATCACTTCTTGATACAAGGCATAGAGTAAATCAGTAAGATATAACCCTTGCATCAATATCTGATACGGATGGTTGCGTTTCCTTCTTTTTACTATTTCATCCACACTTATATGCCCCCACCGACTGCCCCATTCCACATTAGGACTGCCCACCCTTAGAATACTGCCGCCCTGCTAGTTATCCCGTAAGAAGCTGGATTGGCATTGCCTGCAGAACTTTCGTACAATAAGCCGCCTGCCTGAGCATATGTGGGGTGTCCTGAGCATGTGTTTTATTGTTGTGGTTGTTACTGTTGTTGACTTCACAAGCAGTTCTTGTGGACGCAGCCCATGAGGTAAGAACTGCTTCTTCCACGTACGACTAACTGAAAGGCTAGTTAGCGGTGTTCATTCTTCTAGTTCCTCAATAGCTGGTTTGTAAACTGGACAGGAAATGTCCTAGGAGCGCAGTCTCAATGTAGGAATCATGTCGCACAGTGGTTCTCCAGCCCCAGGTGGAATACTTTGCCAATGCTCCGCACAGTCTGTGGCCATACCGCCCTGAATGCGCCCAATTTTGTCTGAGCTCCAAAGCAAATACTTTTCCCATGAGTCCTGCTTGTTTTGTCCCCTGCCCCACTGGATATGTGTGGGCAGTTGTGATGGAGGCATGTCCTATCTCAGGCAAATAAATATATTTATAAATATTTATTTCAGAAAAGTTTGAATCAGTTAAAGTTTGAGATTTGCTGATGTGAAAATACCACTACATGTACTGTTTTGTGTGCTTTATGACATACAGAACAAATGAGCACTACTTGTGACATTAGCATAATTTCTTCAACTTTTAGATAAAAATAAATATATAAGTAACTCTAATATATTTTTTCTGTACCGTTGTTATCTCTGCATTTAAGGTCATTACGCTTATTAGATACTAATGAAAAGAGTGTTTTTGATAGGTAATTTTCTTTGTTTTTGGCATTGCTACAATTTTAAGGGGCATCCATCAATAGTCTTCCATATGGTATCAAGTGCCTGACAGAATTCAGCAGATGCAGAGGAAATTATAAATTACTGTCCTGAAATAGATTAAACAGAAATTTATTAAGTGTAAAGTGTTTAAATGTTCCTTTGTTTTAGTAAAGCATTTTTTTTGTATTCTTAACAGATATTAGACACCCTGAAGAACTTTCTCTCTTAAAAAAACCCAGAGATCCAACAAAGAAAAAAAAGAAAAAGTTAGATGACCAGTCTGAAGATGAAGCACTTGAATTAGAAGGGCCTCTGATCACCCCTGGGTCAGGTGAGACTTTGAATAAGCAAGGGGCTGAACAGAAAACCCCTGATTGTGTGTCTTTGTTGTGCCGGTCGGGAAAGTTGGTCAAGCTAGAAATCAAACAAAACTCTGAAGTGCATTTCCTCAACCATGGAATTAACTGTCAATACTATTAGTTGCTGTTAAGTGCAGATCGACGTGTTAGGTGTTAATTGTGAAATCAGTGAAGAGGAAGTTGGGTTAAAGGAATAGTAGTTCCATTATAGCTCATTTCTTTGGTTGGCAGAGATTAGAAGCTTTTTAGGATATAAAGCATACAAACCACCACTATTTAGTAGATACATTGTTACCTGAAGCCTTATTTAATCACATCGAACCTTCTTTGTGCTTTGCGCATGCCATTTTCCCTCCTTATGTATTTTTCCTGAAGGTTCCCTCCTTTGAAAAGCTTTCTCAGGTTCCTGCCAGTTACCTCCCAGCCTGATTTAGGCATCCTGCTGTCATTAAGTCATCAGACTTTTCTGTTTGATATTGTACTTCATTTTGTCCCCGAAGTGTGAGCTTCCTGCAGAAGGGACTCTCAGCCTTTGCACCGGACCTAACTTAGCATGTGGCATAGTCAGTTGTGTTGTAGCCTAAGAGGTTAATTAAATAGGTTTCAGGGTTCTTTAATCCTAGACATATTCATGGTCTGAACATTAGTTTCCTGCATTTGCATTGGTTATCCACTTATAAACCCATTGTTCAGGGTGGGTTCTTCCAGCAAATGTCTGAACTGTTGTAATGATTTAGTTCATTGCTGGCTTTTTAAATTCTGGGAGGAGGAGGCAGTGGTGACAGCACATACAGCGTGTGCAGGCCCACAGCAGTGGCGTGCCAGTGAGCGTCCACATCTGTGAGGCCCCGACCGGGTGGGACAGGGGCGTCTCCAGCTGCTGACTCGGAGAGGGGCTGCAAGGACGACGAAGTGCTATGGGCTCCACATCGCTCGCCCTGTGCCTCCCTTCGGTCCAGCTCTTCTCAGTTGCATCGTTTTGTGATAAACTGGTAGACTAGTAAGTAAATTGTTTCCCTGAGTTCTGTGAGCCACTCCAGCAAGTTACAAAACCCAAGATGAGGGTCCTGGAAACTGCTGAGGCCATTTGACCAGAGGCACAGCCAACTGTCAAGATGGACATAGGCCCGCTCTCAGAAGTTGAAATCAATGTTTAAAGACGCCCCTTTTTCAAACCAAGGGGGATAGTTTTTGGCAGGTTTTTAAATATATACATACACATACATATATGTATGGGCCAAAGGTGTAGCTCAGTGGCACTGCACCTGCCTCGTAAGCACAAGGTCCTGAGTTCTATCCCTGGTACCACACACACACACACACACACACACACACACACACACACACACTCAGTTTAAGGAGCGAGAGTGAGAAAAAATACGTACCTTGAACACTTTCTCTTAAAAGCACCAATAAGTATTCCTTTGTCAGCTTTTTAAAAAATGTGGGTTAAAGGCTTTTTCTTTTAGTATGAGTCTGCTATTGGGAGTTCTGAATCTTCTTTTTCCTATAACCCGTGCCTATAAAGGGGTCCCTGCCCCTTCGCCATGAGAGGGTTGAACCCCAGGGCCTCACACGTAGCAGGCCAGCACTCTCCCACTGAGCCCTTATATGTTAGGTGTCTTGAATGCTGAGTAAAATTTTAAAATCTTTGCACAAACAATCTTGAGTGCAAAGTGTAAAATCTAGACTTTTACCTATTTATTCGTCTTTTGTAATTTTTGGTTCTCACCTAATTCAATAAATTATTTTACTCTTCTTTATCAAGTTCTACAATTAATTTTAGTTACTCTAGGCTCTGCATGCCTTTTTCACATTTATGTCTCCTGGCTTTACCCTAATTATGTAACAAAATTGGCATAAACTAGTGCATTTAGAGAGTAATTTATCAGCTACGTATTTCAAGGAGTTATGCTGGTTTTTATAGGGAGAATAATGAGGCAGATAAGCAGGTCAGTCAGCTATGTGAGTTAAGAGTTCCTGCATACTTCATAGGAGTGTACATTATGGCTATTTGAGATTTTTAGGGTAATTTTGGTTGTATCCTGTTTTTAGAGGCTAATGAGCCTTTGCATTAGATACTAATTTGTGCTTCTGTGGCTCATCTTTGTTCTGTGCCTAAATTGCCACATTTCTGCTTGGCTTTGTACACAGGACCGGCGTCCTCACCAGCTCCTAACCTCCCATCTTGGGCTCCCATGTTCCTATCCCCACCAGCTCCCTTTTCACCCAGACTGCAGCTGCTGTTTATTTCCGGTCTGTGTACCATTCCTCGTCCCTCCCTCCTTCCCAGAGGCCTGACCTCTGGACAGTGTCGAGTGCTCTAAGGGACACTTGTGGACTGTTCTTCGCAAGGGTTCCTTTTCAAAAAAGAAAACCAGTGTTTGTATTGAGCGGTTGCCACTGTTAACAGCCACATTTATTGAGCAACTCTGGTCCCAAACACCGTATGTAATGTCATAGTTGGTCCTCACAACAGTTCTGAAAAGTAGCTAGCGTGAGGAGAGCATGCGGAGTACAGGAGGTGCGCTCCCAAACCAAGGCCAGGGCGGTCCTGCTCCGCTTCAGCGGCCCACCAGGTGCTGTGCACCCTTCTCTTCCCCGAGCTCTATCAGCAGACTATACTGTAAGTGTGCAGTGAAGTTTCTTATCATCCAAATTAGAACCTGTAACATTAACAGGGTTTATAAGTCTACGTTGGACTTTGGGACCTGCAGGAGTTTTCTTGCCCAGAGGCCACGAGTGAAAACCAGTGTGTGTAGAAATCCTGAGACTGTGCTGGTCCAGTTAACAGGTAATCTTGAAATTTGTAGATTATCCAGCAATGGCTAGTATGAAAAAAGTACATATTTCACAAGAAGAGCTGTATGTACTAGCACAATTAGAAGTATTGGATAATTTTGTAATTGTTTATCCTCGCTAATTTTTTCTTCTAGTCCCATTAACTGTGATGCTAATGACAAAATATAGGAATTCTGGTATATAATTTAAGCTAATGAATAAAAGCAATTGGGTTAGCATTAGTCTTTTCACTGAATTCTTAGACTTTAGAGTTACCTTGATTATATTATAGTAAGTTAGATTGTACAGCCTACTGATAGTTTCCCCTTTTAGAATTCACATCTGATGTGAATTACTAATTTGTATTTTAAAGACACTTTGTAGGTAGGTGGGCTACAAAACGCCACCACAAATAAGCCCTGCAGTTTGTTTTATTCCTCTTGGTTGTCTGATTTGTAATGGTTGAAACCTGACTGGATATTGCTAATATAGACAGGGTGAATTATAGTAAGTTTTGCTTTTGTTTTGCTGAGGGTCTGTCTCTATGGTGAAGGCTGGCCTTAGCCTCCTCAGCCTCCGGGATTGTGGGCCTGAGCCTGCCACTACATGAGCTAAGAATTTATTTTAGAGAAAATTTAGCTGAGTAGAATTAAACAAACAGCCAAGCACAGCACAGTGGTGTACACCTCTTGTCCCAGTACACTGGGAAGCTGAGATGGAAAGATTGCAAGTTTAAGCCCAGCTTGGGTGACTTTAGTGACTCAGGGAGGCTCTGTCTCAGAATAAAAAAAACTTTAAAAGACTAGGAATATATAGCTCGGTGTGTAGGCCTTAGGTTCAATCTCCAGTACAGGGGTAAAAAAAATATATATAATATCAGATTCCACACATCTTCAGTAAAGTGTAACAGTATCATTTAATGTATACGTTATCTTTCACTTGATCGTCACAGAACTGTAATTTTGGTGCCACCCCATTTTGCTTGTGAGGGAAGAATGCCTCAAGGATTGATTTACCCAAGGGTCAGGAAGCTCATAAGCAGAAGTGCAGTTTATAATAGCTGAGTTATGAGGCAGATTTTACTGTGATAAAATACAGTACTTCAGGAACTGTTTGGTCATGTAGGGGTTTTAATATCTATAGTAGATGGCTCCAGACTGTACTGCATTTGTAACTTCTTTGTTAAACTCTGTTTCTAGTTAGCTCTTATATTATCTTTCCATATTGTTCGGCAGACTCATATTTTGTTGCTGAGTAAATCTGCTACTTCTTCTTATCCTATATTTGTTTTCTGCTTCAACTAGGCAAATAGGAAAATAAGATAGGCAGAATTGGCTCTGAACTGACTTAAAGAATTCAAACTGCCTACCCTCTGACCCAGCAGTATGGCTAGAATTGGGAAATTTGTACAGAAATGTTTACTGAAGGTTTGCTTGGAATGGGGACATCAGTAACAAGACTAGAAACAAATAGACAAGCCCCAGTTGAGAATCCCAGGGGTAAGTTACAGCACATGAAGGCAGCATGTACAGCTCCAGCAAAGACTGCTTAAGATTTATAGCTTGGCTCTGCAACTTACTAGCTCTTGACCTTCAACAAGTTCTTTGACATTTGCATGTCTCACTTTCCTCTAAAATGAAAAAGTTGTTGGGAACTCTAAATGCGTTATTTCCATATAGTATCCATGGGACGAGTAGGAACAATAAGACAAAGTAGAGTATAGCAAAGTGAGAGGGAAGAGATTTGGTTGGGTGGCTGGTCTCCTACATGTGTGGTTTAGGGCAATATATTTTCTGTTAGAAACTTTATAAAGAAAATTGTCGGGCCGGGGATTTAGCTCAGTGGTTCCGCTGTCTGCTTCGCAAGTGTGAGGTCCTGAGTTCAATCCCTGGTACCTAAAAAAAGGAAAAGAGAAAAAAAATTGTCAACTTGATTCTGAACAGTAATTACAGTTCATCATACTACGTCAGTGGTCTTAGTAAACATTCTTAGTGAAAGGTCTTTGAAACAAAAAAGGATAGACTTCTGCCTAGAAGTTAGTGCTTTTCAATACCTTTTATATACACACTGCCACCCCTCACCCTGTTCGAGGGATTAAACTCTGGACCTTGTGCTTGCCAGGCAGGCACAGCGCCACTGAGCTACATCCCTGGCCCTATATGCATATTTTCTATAGCAGAATTAGTCTCTGCTCATCCGAACAGGAATAATATTTTCAGCACTTTAGATCTTTTTTACAAAAATGTCACAGTTTTAAGTTTGAAAAATACTGGTCTCATTTAAGGTTCCAGCTTTTGAGCAAAACTCTGAGACTTATTATGCCAGTGTTCTGTGTCAAACACTAAAAAAGAAGAGTTCATAGCTATGCTTTGTTTCACAATGTTTGGGTTTTCCAGGTTGCATTAGTTCTGACATTGGAAGAACATACACTGAACATAGAATCAGATATCTTACGGCTAGCAAGACACCAGATTTTTTCAGTAAAAATCCTTTTCTTTCTATTCTGCTTTCTCTTCTTAAACTAGATCGTATCAGTTCCAGAAATCTCTAGCATAAACACCACTTCCTCACAGGTGATTGATCCTGCAACTGCAGGGAGAGAGTTAAGAAAGAAAGGGATTCTAAGCACATTTCTAAGTTAGGTAAGGAGAGAAATTTTTTCTTTCTGTCATAAGCAACTTTATACCCATTACACATTTACTTTTTAAAAACTATGATTACAGGACGAAATGTAACTTCACAGAGTTAGGACTTAGAGCAATGTTTTTAATGTCACTCTGAACTTTTGTTTTGTTTTTTTGAGATAGGGTCTCACTGTGTAGTTGAGACTGACCTGGAACTGCTGTGTAGCCCAGGCTGGTCTCAACTCACAGCGATCCTCCTGCCTCAGCCTCCCGAGAGCTGGGATTACAGGTGTGCGCCACCACACCCGATGGAACTTTTAAAAATATTTTAAATCTGATTTCTTAATGTTACAGCTTAAGTGAAGGAGCATATATCATCACTTGACTAATTTAACAAGCTTTTATTTGTGTAGTCTCTACCTACACACCTAGCCTTGTAAAACTGAAGAATTGTAAAATATATCTGCTGTCAGGAGCTCAACTATAAAATGTGTGTACTTTGTTTTGTTTTGTTTTTGAGACAGGTTCTCACTATGTAGTTGAGACTGATCTGGAACTCACTATGTAGCCCAGGCTGGTCTCGAACTCACAGCGATCCTCCTACCTCAGCCTCCCGGAGTGCTGGGATTATAGGCATGCACCACGCCTGACAACGTGTGTGCTTGTTTTGGTTTGGTTTGGTTTGTTTTTTTGTTTTTGTTTTTGGCTTTGGTTTTATTTTGTTTTGTTTTTGAGACAGGTTCTCACTATGTAGTTGAGACTGACCTGGAACTCACTATGTAGCCCAGGCTGGTCTTGAACTCACAGCGATCCTCCTGCCTCAGCCTCCCGAGTGCTGGGATTACAGGCGTGCGTCACCATGCCTTTAAATGTGTGTACTTTTGATACCTTCTTTACAGCAAAACTTTATCCACCCTTTTGTATCAACTGCTTATTTGTAAATCTGTTGAAACTAGCCTAGCATTCACTGAGAAAACACGAAATTGTTCTCCTAATTTATGTGAATTTATTCAGGTACTTTGAGCTATCTTGAAACAGGGTAGGATTTCAAATGATGGCAGATGTTGTGGATGTGTATGCTTGGCTGGAATGTAATTTTATTTTATTTTATTTTTTGACAAAAATCTTGTTTTACTTAGGTTATAGCTTTTAAGATCCTTTGCTCTGAAGTTTGTTCACTTGAAATATGTACTTCAGTTTATGATTCTAAGAAAAAAAATCTGTTTTCTTTTTTCCCCTTTTTATCCTTTTGTTTCTGTCCTGTGTTGTTGCCTTTCCTTTACCTTCTGAATTCCTTTCTTTCCTTTCCTATAGGCACTGATGTTCTTTACATTGGCCCTCTGAAAGGTGAGCCTTGCCACAGTTAAACACAGAAAGTGTTGCTCTGTCTGCTTCATCCGTCTGTATCCTTATTTCTTAATTCCCTTGAACTTTTCCCTCCAAATTTCTGCCAACTTAATTATATTCTTACGGCTTTGTTATTACTTTTCTTTAATGTTACATAAGTGGAGTTAGTTACCCATGTTTTCCAGACAGGTAAAACAGTGTACTAAGCTTTGCTTCCAGATTGAAGCTTGTTTCACAGTGTGCTTTATATCTCAGTATATATGTTGTCATTGAAAGCGAAAATTCTGTTCTTCACATTTGAAGATTGTGTTCTTCCTTCTAACTCTGTCTTTTTCATGTTATTTATCAGGAAGTATATATTCAAGCCCAGGACTGTATAGTAAAACAATGACCCCCACTTACGACGCTCATGATGGAAGCCCTTTGTCACCAACTTCTGCTTGGTTTGGTGACAGTGCTCTGTCAGAAGGCAATCCTGGTATCCTTGCTGTCAGTCAGCCAATCACATCACCGGACATCTTGGCAAAAATGTTCAAGCCTCAAGCTCTTCTTGATAAAGCAAAAATTAACCAAGGGTAAGTTTTGAGATACAGATAAAATTGAAGCATTTCTTTATCCACCTAGAGGTAGAACATTTTATTAATTCTGCTTTGCTTTGTCCGTTGTTCTGATTTGTTCAGGTGGCTCGATTCCTCAAGATCTCTTATGGAACAATACGTGAAAGAAAATGAGGCCTTGCTGCTCCGATTCAAGTATTACAGCTTTTTTGATTTGAATCCAAAGGTACCAAGGGTTTAAAGGATTTTTTTTCTCTGCATTTGGATGTTTGTTTTTTGGAAGTAAGGAAGTGTTTGTTTATAGCAAGTCTTGACTGATATAAAAACCCAAACCTTTAGGCAAAGGTATTTGCATTTCAAGTAAATCTATTTTAATAACTGGGAAGCATTTTTGAAGCTTTTTATTTTTTGTTACGACAGTTCAATTTTTGGCTGATTTGGGTTTTAAAAAGACAGAATTGCTTAAAGTTAGGTCTTTTAGACACCTTTCTCAGCTGTACCATAAGGGAAAGTTTTCTGAAAGATTACTTTTTTTGTTACTTTTATATTACTAATTACAAACCAAAAGATTTTGCTTCAAGACCACATTTTATTGTGTCACATTTTTTAAGACTGCACTTCCTACTCAATAACCAAACATCATTATCTGCTTTACTGTTTTTGGTGTTACTGTAGAACTTCACTTTTCTGATTAGATTTAACTTTGCTGTGAAACCTGGATATTTTCCCTTTGAAAACAGTTGGCACAAAGGAATGAACCCTTTTCAGACATCCTGTGGAAGATGTCTTGGCCACCCTGTCATCTGGCATCCCTGTCACATCTAGATCATAGTCTAGATTTCATGTGTAATACTTACCTTCTGTTAGTGCTTATCTAATTCTTTAAATAAAAGTATGAGAAGTACACAAAAATGTTAGTCTCTTTTCAAGCCATGTAATATAGTACCTACTTTTTTAGTAAAGCCAAAGCTGTTTGGGCATAGTTATGTGGAATGTTACTATTTTATTAATGTAATTAAATGGATAGTTCAGTAACATATTTTCCACAAGTGTATATGTACCATCTCTTTTGGATGCTTGAAATAACTTGTTTCCAAGGACTTGCCAATTTATCTAGGCCTGCTGGGTCTGCTTCTCTGTGGTGAACAAGATATTTCTCAAAAGTTCAGTTGCTCTGATTATATTTTATCATGACAAGTCACAGTAACCATCCTGAAGAGTAATCTAACTCATTTTAATACCTTCAAGTTAAATTTCTTACAGTTAAAGGTATAATACTGAATAGTTGTTTCCCTGGAAAGTAATGCAGATTTTTCTCTCTCCCCTGAGGTGCTGGGTGTAGAATCTAGGGCCTCATGAATGCTAGGCCACTGAGCCCCATACCCTCACCCTCAGGATCTATTTATTTCTAATACTGTAATACTGAATGATTATCTTCTGTCATTTTTAATGGAAAATTAAATGTGGTTCTGTGTAGGTACATCTAACCCTATAAATATCTTTCTTTCTTAGAAGTATTTGATAGTGAATAATGATTTCAGAAAAAATAATGTATTCAGTTCTTATTGTTAAGCTTTCAAAAGCCAATGTTCAGATTACTAAGTGTAATAAATACATTATAAATGAAATGTTTCTTTTGCTCTATAGTATGATGCAATCAGAATCAATCAGCTTTATGAGCAGGCCAAATGGGCCATTCTCCTGGAAGAAATTGAATGCACAGAAGAAGAAATGATGATGTTTGCAGCCTTGCAGGTAGGTGAAAGAGTTGGTAAAGAGGACATACTGGGGAAAGGGTTACTTTTAAATAATAAAGTGGCGTGGTAATTCTAGCTTTTGACAATATTATTTTTTGCTGTGTAGCAACTGAATAGACACTTAGAAAAGCAAAATAAATACATGAATTTAGTCTTATTTAAGAGTTTAATTGTATATATGGTTACTTTCCTGCATTTGTGTGAACATATCTTCCCACACCCAAATGTGTATTAGCTTAGTTACTTAATTTTCCCTTGGAAATAAAATATATTAAATTTTGTTTTTTGTTTTTTGTGTGTTGTTTTTTTTTGGTACCGGGGATCAAATTCGGGATTTTGCACTTGCAAGGCAGGCGGTGGAACCACTGAGCTAAATTCCCAGTCCAAAATAAAATTTCTTAAAGACCCTATAACCTGAGCTGTGGCAGAAGCAGTGTGTTTTTAAGTGGTAGAATTTCAAGACTAGTAAAACTAAACATAAATAAGGTTTTATAATTATAACCATTAAGAAGTAGATGGCTTATATTTTGCTTAGACCAGAGTTTTCCAGATGTGATTTTTGGACACCACTTGCCTTAGAATTAGTGACACTTATTACAGCCTTCATTATTGATATGCCCATGACTCAAACAGTGTTAGGTGATATCCACAAATCAGCATTCTTAGAAATACTGAGGTCCACTGACCTACTAATAACCAGGCTAATTTATCTTTCTATGGTCAGGTGTTTTCCCATGATGGTAGGATTCTGGTTTCACCCAAAGTCCTGGTAGAGTTGATGTTGTTGAAATAGAAATAAAGAAAGCAAAGCTGATAACCAGTTTGAAGAGTTTTCATTATAAAAATGATTTTACTTTTTCCTTAAACACAGATACTCTCAGTCTTCTAAGTGCATTTATACACCCAGAAAAGTAATGTTAAAACTCAACAGCTGCTCTTAGAAAGTAACACAGCCCATTTCTGTTGCTTGGTGAAAGAAAGTAGTCAAGAAGAAGCACAGACAAAGAAATCCTTGTGACAGGTGGATTAGTTTTTATTTCTAGAGATGAGATTAATGGACTGGTTAGAAGTCCTGTACATTTCTGGGTTGATTCAGACTGTCTGAAGAATTTCTTGAATTAAATTCTGAAGCAGTTTATTGGGAGTCCCTCACTTGGTTATGCTTTTCTACCTATGCTTTCTGACTTTGAATACAGGCTCAAAATTGTCCAGTGTAAATTTTACCAATGACAGAATAATATGTGTAAAATATATACAGTATGTGAAAGAACATAGACTTTATTGTATAGTGTTGCCTTTTATTTATTATAAAAATAATTGTGTTTGGGCCAGGGATTTAGCTCAGTAGTTCTGCCGCCTGCCTCACAAGCACAAGGACGGACCTGAGTTCAGTCCCCGGTTCCAAAAATAAAAGAAAAAGTTAAAGACATCAGCCGGGCATGGTGGTACATGCCTGTAATCCCAGCACTTGGGAGGGAGGCTGAGGCAGGAGGATCGTCGGGAGTTCAAGACCAGCCTGGGCTACACAGTGAGTTCCAGAGCAGTTTGAACTACATAGTGAGATGAGACCCTATGTCAAAAAAAAAAAAAAAAAAAAAAAAATTGTTTTTATTTTTTAAACCAACCAGGCATACAGTGCTTGGCACATAGTAAGTGCTCAAAAACTATTTATTGAATGAATATACTGTATACACAGTCATATTTTCACAGAAATGGCAATATTCTGTAGCCTATATGTAATTCTACTGTAAATACTAGGAGAGCAGAAATATCTGAGACCACAGATTCTACTTCATGGAAACTGAACGTTCTCACAGCATGGCCTTCCTCAACAATTTTAGAATCTAAATTTAATGAGCAAATTTTGCAGTATTGTAAAAAGTCTTCTGAGACTAACCTATCAGCTGTGCAGGGCACCCTCCAGTATCAGGAGGAGGAGATTTTTAAAGTATGATGAGGAGACACCTAACATTTTTTATTTCAGACATAGCCTGCAGTCAACTACCCTGTCATTGGGGCATCCAGATCCTTGTGTAAAGTAAATTTACTGTAGTAAAAATAGTAATAATTCACATAAGCTGTGGATTTTAAACAGGATAAGTTAGTAATGTTTTTAAAGCATTTAGGTACAGGTAGGTAGTGTACATTTACTAAATACCCCTACATCTTTGAAAGCAAAGCTGGATTTTATGACAGGTCCGTTGAGAGCCAGAACTCCTCCCGTATGACGCATTAGAAGCACAGAAGGGACATAGGGAAAATCCAGATTCCAGGCTGGACCGCAGGTTTGCTAGTGTTTTATCCACCAGTCTTCTCTTACTTATGACCATGGAATTTCTGCCACTGTAAGGATCTCAGACTGTTGAAAACCATTCGTTACTAAACCTTAAAGCACAGGAGATTATTGATAATTGGTCTCAAATTCGTTCATTAAATAGTCCCACAAGTAGATTTTAAGTAACTAAACACTTGAAAAAATTAGAGTGTGGCTTACTGCTTTGTAAAGTCACTGCTTAAATTAAAGATTGTTCTGATCACATTATAAAACCTCTAAGGCTTTATATCAAAATATAATTCTTAACATTTGTTCTAAGTCACTGACCTAAATTTATTTAAAATCAGTGATTTATATTCTAGAAAATTCTAGACCAAACATGTTCCTAGGGGTAGGCGATGTGTACTTAGTGTGCACACACGCACTTTCTCGTCTGTGTGTGTCTGTGTGTGTCTCACCAGTCTCCGTAACTGAGCGTGTGTAGTGCATTGACTTGAGAAGGGAGGAAGGGGAGGTTCAGCTTCGCCCTAAAGCGGTAATAATGATACCCTGGTTTTCAGCAATAGTAATGGAAGGCAGTCAGTGCTAATTCTCACTTCTGGGTAACAGCACAGCTGAAAGGCAACCAGTGTTAATCCATTTCTACACAAGATTTTTTTGCATGTTCTGTTCATTTATTCAGTATTCATTTGTACCAGACTGTTCTAGACACAAGAAAGACTGAAAAAGCATCTCTGCTCATGAAAGCTGAGCATGTTATCTCTTACCTGTTAACTCTCTTATGTCCTAGAGACCTCCAGCCTGATAATTCCTTTGCATATATAAAAGAATATGGATATTTATTAGCAGGTTTATGATATTGATCTCAGTTGCCTGGCCCTTTGTTTTCAAAGTAGGTAATAAAAGCATTCAGGTTGGTAATATTGATACATCTGTCATTTTAAAATTTGCAGTTATGATCTTCATTTCAATAAAATTTCTGGTTTCAGTATCATATCAATAAGCTCTCCATCATGACATCGGAGAATCACCTGAACAACAGTGACAAAGATGTTGATGAAGTTGATGCTGCCCTTTCAGACCTGGAGATTACTTTGGAAGGGGGTAAAACGTCAACAATTTTGGTAGGGTGAATCGTTTCACTTATGCTTACGTTTTTTGTGGATTTCAGTTTGCAGAAAGTATTTTGAGGGTAGAGAGAAATATTTAGTGTCTTAGACAAAAAAAGATACAGATTTTTCAGGAAACAGGGAAGTTTTGTTTTTGCAGTGCGAGGGATCAAAGCCAGGGGCTCGCAAGTGTGCTCTACCACTGAGCCACACCCGAACCCCAAGAAGTTTTAAAAAGCATAGTCTGCTCTAGTCGGGTGTGGTGGCACACGCCTGTAATCCCAGCACTCTGGAAGCTGAGGCTGGAGGATCACTGAGTTCGAGACCAGCCTGGGCTACATAGTGAGTTCTAGGTCAGTCTCAACTACATAGTGAGACCCTGTCTCAAAGAACCAAAAAAAAAAAAGGCATAGTCCACTCACTAAAGATGTATCTTCTGGTGCTCTGCACATTGTTTTACAAGTGCTGGAGAGTATTTCTGGAGAGGAAATCATAAATCTCAGGTCACAATAAAAATCCATTCATTGGGCTGGGGATTTAGCTCAGTGGTTCGGTGGCCTGCCTCGCAAGCGCAAGGACCCGAGTTCAATCCCCAGTACCAAAAAAAAAAAAAAATATTGTTCACAGACATATGCCAGTCAGCATCTTTTCCCAGCATCCTCCCCGCCTCATAGAGGCAAAGCACACGTGTGCACAGTGAGGACAGCAAGACGACAATACAAATTTTTCAACACATTGTAGTCTTTTTTGGTACCGGGGATTGAACTCGGGTCTTTGTGCTTGCGAGGCAGGCCACCGAATTGCTGAGCTAAATCCCCGGCCCAAGAATTATTCTTAAAGAAACACTTTCTCAGGGCTCTTAGGATTTACAAATCTCTGTAGATGACCATAAACAGTTTCGGCAGTACTTATAAGTAATGTATTCCTGTTTTGTATAAATTGTCATTTGTTTCAGATTCTTTCTGTGCTATTTGAAAGGACCTTTGTTAAAACAAAAACGTTTGGTCCGTATGGCCATACAATATGATATAATATGCCTTTTAGATTTTTATGATGTGCATTTTACTTAATTCTGTTTATTAAATTAATTCTTGGTATCAAGTATCAAACATTAGAATGTTTTTAAATACAAAAAAATGTGATTTCACTCTCTCCCTAGGGTGACATTACGTCCATTCCTGAGCTTGCCGACTACATTAAAGTTTTCAAGTAAGTGCAAGAGGGAGCAGGACGCCCAAGCATTAATGAATAATGTGTCAGTGATAGTCATTCACAGTATTTAAGTCTAGAGTAAGTTAGGTTGGACTGGCAAATATACCTGTAAAAAGATTAGCCATTTAGATAATACAGTTTGAGAGAAAATAACTGTGTTTACCAAATTAAAATCAGAGTAGTCATTGTGGTACCTGGTAAGCATCCTTTTAAAAGAAATTGTAAAATCTGGATCGCTCACAGAGATGCAGAAACAGCAGTGCAGAGCCTCTGGGCCTGGGGGAAACAGCACAGGGTGACCTGCCACTGCCCAGACCATTTCCTAGTTCAGAGCTCACAGCCCTGTTCATTTGTCCATGAACATTTTATATGAAGTCCCAGTATATCCATCCAGATTTTCAGTATATCCCAAAGAATCAGGAGACCTGGGCATTAAGAGACAAGGGAAAAGAAAGGAAGTGATGTAGAAATACTTTTATCTCCTATATTAGACTGTTATAGTATAAACCAGTTACTTAAGCGAAACATAGAACAGCCCGACATATGTAACCCTGCTGAGGAAAGGGCAAGATTTCAAATTTACACACCTCTGTCAAACACCTGTTCCCTCATGGCTGCTCTGGCCTCTTCTTGTTGGACCCTGGGGGAACAGGTTAGTGTCGCTTTTCAAACGTGTCCCTGAGAACATTCCTTTTTTGCTTCCCAGCTTGCTGTGCACACTCAGCACAGAGGCAGCTCTGCAGACCCCCAGGGACCTGTAGGTCCTTGTCCAGCTGTGGACAGCGCTTTCCCTTTCTTGTCCTAACCTTTCCCAATGAGCTGCAAGTGCCGAGGTGGCTTTATTTGAGAAGTATGGGTCCCTTGCCCTCCACTGCCTCAAGACTGTGGGATCTTCCCTGTACATTGAGACACCAGGGCACAGCCAGTACCAGCGCGATGCCTATGAGACACCAAAGGGAGCTGTTTTCCACGTGTGGAAGGCTTTGCCTCAGACTTCTCTACATCACACTTGACCACTAAAACAGCATTGACAGTTACTTCAAAGTGTTTCTTCCTCTTAATTGTATTTCATACTTAGACCCAAAAAGCTGACTTTAAAAGGCTACAAGCAGTATTGGTGCACTTTCAAAGATACGTCTATTTCCTGCTATAAGAGCAAAGAAGAGGCCAGTGGCACCCCTGCTCATCAGATGAACCTTCGAGGTAAGGAGGCCTGGATGACCTGAGGAGTCTGTCCATCTGGCCACGGGTGAGAGTGTGTGTTTCTTTACTCTTTTGAGTACTTTTTTAAAATATTGAAGCGTTTTTAAATCTTTTTCTGTTGTGAGTATTCAATTCCTTATCAGTAGTTTCTTGTAATCTCTGTGGACAACCTGACTTGAAGTGTTTCCCATTCTCACTTTTCAAGTAAATCTTCATCTTCAACAATGAGGATTTAGGTTTTCCTCATTCTGCAGGGGCCTCTCCTTGTCTGCTTTGCCCCATTTTCAGCCTCGTTGTAATCATCTCCGCTGACACTTAGTTGGTTTCTCCCTTTCACCAGCGTCCTCCTGCTCCCCTTCCTTCCCTTCCTCCCCTTCCTCCCCTGCCCTCCTGGGCTCCTGAGCCTTTTGACTTCCCTGGCTCAGCGGCAGGGTGGCTGGCGCCCACCTCTGGACTTTGCCCACCTGCTCCCTTTCCTGCTGCTCTGCGTCGCCTGGCTCCTGAGGCTCCTCATTGCCCCCTTGCATTTCCTTTTGTCAGTCCAAAGCCGTCTCAGGACGAGGTGCTGGTGTTTGAGGCGGATCTTTCCTTTTCCCTGTGGCAGCCTGGGCTAACCCTGGCTGAGAGCTCGGCTACTTACTTTTATTTATTTATTCATCATTCATTCATTTATTCAGGTGTATGGAGCCACAGCCTCATTTCCCGTTTTGGCATCTTTTATGGTTCACACTGCTCCTTCATGTCTCACCTGATTAATGCACTGGTTTCAGGGGTGGAAGAATTTCCTTTCTGGGTTGGGCTGGTTCTTCTGCTGCTGCTCTCGATTTCTCTGCAGAGCCTTTTAGCTGGTCTTGAAGACTGCTGATGAGCCTCTCACCTGCATTGCTGTTCACTAAAATCTCATGGCTCACTTCCCCATTTCCTCCAGGAAGCTGTGTCCCTTGAGAACCACTCTCCTCTGAGCTCACTCAGCACTTCCTGCATGCCGGATGGAGGATGCCATGGATTAGCTAAAAGCTAGAAACAATTTCCAAACTTCTCACCAGGGAGATTTAGACTCCAGCGATGTTTGCGTGCCTGTAAGACTTTAATTCCAAGTTGAGCTGAGGGGCTAGGGATGAAGAACAGAGAGGAGTGAAGTGTTCTCTGGAGCCAGTAGCTGCAGCAGCCTCCTGGTTTCCCAGCTGCATGACAGCAGCAAAGTTGCACCTCCTCTGGCGGGCCAGGGCAGTCTCTCTCCTGTGGATGTGTGCTGCATGTGCTGTGTCACTGCGTGTAAAGCAGAGTGCCTTTCTAACTGAAATGGACAACAGTGCCAAAGAAAAAGGCTCATTTCAGAAAAACAGCTCCTAAAATAATTTCATTTAACACAAATCTTTTTGTCATGCTCACCCCCCCCACATTTTTTTTTAAGTGAAGTGAGCTAGGTCATCCCTGGTAACCAAGAGGAAGCATCGCAGGGCTGGTCTTTATGCAAACACCAGTATCTGATAAAGAGAGCCTTTCCCCAGTACCAGCATCCGCCAGAGCCTGAACCTCTGATATGCATCCTTATTTTCTTTGTATATTGTACACTACTATATTTTCAGTGTATTTCCACAGATCTCTAATTCTGTACCCCTAATTACTGAGCTTTGCCTAGTAGTCATCTGAACTGTTTTGCTTTACAATTAAACACAACTTAAACACTAGGAGACCTCGGTCCTGAGGAGAAATCTGCTCTTCCCACGTGCTGGAATTCTTCTGACTTAAACTTAGTCACGAGATGAGCTCTTAGGTCTCTGCTGTTCTTGTAACTTGCAGCTTTCCTCTTGCTTCCTCTTGGATGCAGGGGCAGCTCACATTGTCCCCTGGCCCGTTCTTACTGTCAGTTACATTCTCGGTCTTCTCGGGGTATGACTGAGAAGCCGAGTCCTGGTGCGGAAGTAAAACATGTGTAAGCTGTCCCTCATTCCACCTCTCAGAAGTCCTTTCATAGGAGAGCTTTACCTGCACATCACACCAGTAACGTTAGACTAGAAACCAAATGGTCAGGGTTCTGCTGCACTCCCAGATAAGCCCTGTAATGTTGGGAAAATATCCTATCTGGGCCTCAGTATCTTCTGCTGAAAAAAATGAGAGTATTGGACCATCAAGTTCCTTTAGAGACCTAAAATGCACAGCTTTGAAAGTTCAATTCCGGTAGCACTAATTGAACTTGTCCGCTGCAAGCTGTGTTGGGCACGAGTGACATGAGGAAGCAGTCCTGTCTCTCAGCATGTTTAGAACGTGTGTGTGGGGATGAAGGAGTACAGTTTGGGTCTGTATGTAGCCAAGGTAGAATATTCATCTAGCATGTATGAGGCCCTGGATTTAATCATCAGCACTGCAAAAATTAATTATAGGGCCGGGGATTTAGCTCAGTGATTCTGCTGCCTGCCTCGCAAGCATAAAGTCCCGACTTCAATCCCAAGTACCAAAACAAACAAAAAAAATTATTAGTATTATAATTTGGGCAATAAATAAGACTTTAAAAAGTAAGTATAAAAGAGCAAGGAGGTAAAAATACTACTTAAACTTCGGTAAGGGTGAAGAGACTTCTTGGGGGAAATGAAATCTGAATTAAGATCTGAAAAGAGAACTAGGGGTGGAGCTTAGTGTCAGAGAACGGGCCCAGCACGCATGCATGAGGCCCTGGATTCAGTCCCCAGCACGCACGCACACACACACACACGCTTGCACACACACACGAAATCCAGAGAAACTGGTCTGTGGAAGGTAGAAGAGGAGTTGATAGAAGGGCCTCTGTATAAACTGCTGTGCAAAAACACCCACAAGAAAAGATTCAGCAGCTGCAGTAGAGTTTGTGGTGCTGAACACTGGGTCTAAGGAGAAGGATGGATGAGAAATAAGAGCACAAGAAACCTGTGGGAAGTAAATGATAAAAAATTGTTAAAGTTTGCCTTGTGGTGCTGGGGATAGATCCCGGGATTTTGGACGTGCTAAGCCTAAACTACCACTGAGCCACACCTCCAGCTCCGTTTTGTTTTTTTTTAACTGCCAGCTGTGAAGATTATTAACTGCCACTGAAAGATGATTAACACAAGAATGACTGGGTCAATTTTTTTTTTTTTTAAGAGTAGGAAAAATTTATTGAGAGAAAGCTTCTGAGAGACAGACGGGGAACTGGAAAGTGGGTTTCCCGCCCACTCCACGTCTCAAACATGTTTTATACAGCAAAGTGATGTGGTAAGGTGGGTACAAAGTAGGACAAAAGTATAAGACCCAGTGGAAAATTACAAGGAGGGCATGAGGTGGGGCAAAACCATGACCAATCAGTAAGATTACAAGTACGGTCACCTGGGGAATATTGATTAAGTGGGGGGTCAAATGGGGGAGCAATTCACATAGCAGGTGTACAAGGATTTTCAGTAAGGGTGGGGGTCAGGGATATTTCCTAGAAAGGCTGGGCTAAGACCTAGCCCCCACCCTCAGGTGACTGATACCTACGTAGAATATCAGTCACTGTTATTCATCCCCAAGGGGAAGCACAAGGGTGTAGTAGTTTCTGTCCTTTTACAATCTGGCCACAGTGAATGTGTCTTGATTATCCTCTGTATTGGCTCTTTGCTGTGTTGGCTCCTTGAGGGCGGCCCTGTCCAACTGCCTACAGATATCTAATTAACTGACCTATCTGCAATATTCTTACCTATGAAGAAGTAACTAACTGCTGTGAGGGGCAAAGGGTGAAGACAGCTCTGGCTACTTTCAGCTGAAGAGGGTCGTAGTTGTGATCAGCAGTTAGAGTTACTCTATAGAGGGTCTGTCTAAAGGCCTTCGGTAGGTGCCTGGCATTGTCATCTTGGTAGCTGTATAGCTTTTAAATCTGGAGGAGACAAAGTCAAAGAAACAATTAAGAATGCATGGGCCAAATTATAAGGTCAGCAGGATTGCTGTGAATATATCCCACAAAGAGGATAAGGAGAAGGTCTGGGGGACTTCAGAATCAACATAGTAGTCATTTTGTACAGTTTAGCAGTTATGAGCTGGTGGATCCCAGTAGAAGAAGTCTAGTACATGTCACTGGTTCCATTTGTATGACCTCTAGGCAAGAATAAACAAAACTTAAGAGTACGTATAATCTAAGCATGAGCACACTAGAATGAAAGGGCAGGTTGGGGAAAAACACAGTCTTAAAAATTTAGATAGTGATTGAACCTGCCGGTCTTAGCTGGATCCATATTTTGATCTATCATGGTGTAAAGGCGTAATTTTAGGACAGTGATTGTGATCCAAATTGAGGTGATTGAAAGCTGGAGTATAGCTCAGTGGTAGGAGCCCCTGCTAAGCACACATGAGGCCCTGGGTTCAGTCCCCAGCACCACAAAATATAAAGTAAGATTAATTGATATGAAAGCAGAAGCTGGGGAGAGGGCAAATCTGGTAGATGCTGAGGAAGATCAACACCAAACTGGGTGACTAATTGGGAGGAGGCTGGGAGGGACAGACATGCTTCTGGCTTCCATAATCAAATGGATACAGTGATTATGAGATTGGAATATAGAAGAAAGAACTAGTTTCGGGGGGAGAGGAGTTTAATTTGGGGAAATTTTATATTTATGGATCGTGTATTTGAAAATAACATTGGATTAGGCAAAGAGATGCATACTACAGATGTCAGTGTAATAACGATTAAAATTAGCAGTACATCTGAGAAGAGACAGCTAAGAGTAGATCCCTACAGAACACCCAGGAGGAGCTTGCTTAGAACACAAGCAACAAAAGTGCATTGGAAATGAGACTGAGTGGAAGCTGGGTTGAAGGGAGAGTTGGAGACATAGGCTTGGTGGGAAGAGATCACAGGATAGAGCCTCTGAAAGAATTTGAAGAGAGTTAAGACTGGAACTGTGATCAGGGTGGGCTGATTGCATTTGCTTTCTCAGAGGTAGAGCAGTTCGGTTATGATGAGCTTGGAGGCGGCCTGGAATGAAGACTGAGATGAAGCCCACAAAATCCGGAATGTTTGGCGTCTCCATTCTGTCTCTCCCTTCTTAGTTTTTCCAGGACTTTAAAAGAGGCCTCATTATTTCAGGATAATGTACTTTAAGTCCTCTCAAATGACTACTGGTCTTGGGGGTAATGGGTAAAATGACTGTATATCTTCACACATCTTTGCTTTAACCTGGCTGGTTAAACAAATTGCTATACAATTTTCTCTTCATTTCTGAAGCTTCTGCGAAAGGACTTACAAGGCAACAAGCATACAGGACGATCCTGTGACGTGAACTTACACAGAGCCCTTGTGCAAACCTTCTAGGGAGCTCTTGCCTGAGCTGCTCCCACCCCTACTGTTAAACACTGATGATTATTTAGATTTGTATAGCTGATGAAGGTGCGATCTCAGAAGACTTGCCCATAAAATGTCACTGAATTAACAAAGTTGTTTGCATACCAACTCCACACGTGCATAGGTATATGTTACCTTCTGTAGGAGCTGCATTTCTGGAATTGTAGCAACATTCAACATGTTAAAATCCCACAAAATGAAGCTATTGTATTGGTTTGGGATTTCCTAAAGTTAAATTTAAGTACTTTTAATAAATTAAGTTTTTTATTACAGGATGTGAAGTTACCCCAGATGTAAACATTTCAGGACAAAAATTTAACATTAAGCTCCTGATTCCAGTTGCAGAGGGCATGAATGAAATCTGGCTCCGTTGTGACAATGTAAGTTCTCCAGTGAAAAGGAGACTTGATTGTTCTATACTAAATCAGTTGACAGTCATCCTTGTCATCGTATCCTCAGAAGCGCCTCCGCTGTCATACGGCAGCCCCAGGTGACTTCATGCCTCCATGTTTGTCTCACCAGGAAAAACAGTATGCACACTGGATGGCAGCCTGCAGATTAGCCTCCAAGGGCAAGACCATGGCAGACAGTTCTTACAATTTAGAAGTTCAGAATATCCTCTCCTTTCTGAAGATGCAGCATTTAAACCCAGATCCGCAATTAATACCAGAACAGATCACAACTGACATAAATCCGGAATGTTTGGTGTCTCCTCGGTACCTCAAAAAGTACAAGAACAAGCAGGTATTTCCTCACTTTGCTCAGTCTACTGCTTTCTGCTGATTTGTTTTATAATTCTCTACAGACCCTAATTTTGTTGCCTCTATGAAAAGTTTAAATTTCATACCAGCTGGTTAGAATGTTAGGAAATCCATAGATGTTGTCAGTTTGAATTGGTTATTTTAAAATCTTTACCCTCTTTCTAGGAGAGATAAGAGAGGAACAGTTGAGAGCACATTTATTCTAAACAACTTGAGGAAGTCGTTCTGTTGACAGAATGTTCTTTTAAGTATTTCCGGGAATTTAAGGTGGTCTTAATGCTGTGTTCTTTAATTCATTGTTTTATTCTTTATATAATTAAGAAAAATGTGATATAAAGTACAGTCACTATTCTCCAACAGAATTTTTGATACCTATTCCTGCTGTTGAAATGGATTTTCTGGCTTTGAAAATACTTTGTAAGGGTAGAAATAGTCTGTACTCCTGACATTAACAGTTAGAACCTAACCAAGATTTGGCACATTAAGTGTGGTAAATTTTAAATGAAATTTGCTGCTTTTGGTGTCTCCTTTGTTTAGAATTCCTTTTCTGGAGATTAGTACCATAAAAGGTTTGCTATTTAGGAAAACAGTCCCTCAGTAAAACATGAAAGATCTTGTGCAGGGGAATTTGACTTGGGATAGCCCCATATTCTCTCCACCAAACATCATGCCATAAAAGGAAGTAACTTCAGTTTGGGCAGGGGAGCAGGGAAGACCTTTAGAATAAATATTTCACTTTTATCTGGTTTTGTTTTTATCTTTGTTAAGGAGTGCATAATTTTAAAATATAATAAAAGACTCCAATTGAGTATGCAGAACACTTAGTTCCTTAACTTTAAATACAGTGTTTATTATATGCATCTGAAATCAGTTAGCTGGAAATGTTCAGAAGCTTTAATCACTTAATTGTGCATCTTTAAGTTTTCAGAGATCATGTAAGTTGTGTGGAAATTGTTTATCTCAGTCGTAGGCTGTGGGAGTAGTAAGGAATGGAGGAAATGCTGCCCTGGGAGCTTTGTGGAATGCAGATTGTTAAATTAAGAAGGGAAAATGAAGCAAGTAGTAATTGCATTTTTTCCTCAGTCATTTCATTTAAGATTTATAAGGAATTTTGTTTCTTAAGGTGAATGCATTTGCCTTCAGAGGCACTGCATAATTTCAGATCTTAGCAGTTTTATCATTTTGATGTCAGGTATCAGGAAATAATAGTTTTCTATCCCTGAGTTTCCAGCTAGATCGTCAAGTGAAAATTCCCTTGAGGACAAAGACAGTGTTTTGAATCTGTAACTGACTGGAAAGCAGTTGTGGAAAGGATCCTTCTTGCACTCTTGTCTCCCATGGTGGCGTCTTACCAAGGGCACATTGCTTCTTAATCCTCCTTCCTCTGACTGGACGTCCATGTTATTCCTAGAAGGCAGGGACATGTTTTGCTGCCTGGCACCCAGGAGGTGCTGATAAGAAGTTGAGTTGCTGCCTTGTGTGAGCGAGCGCTATGCCTGTCATTGGACACAGTGCTCAGGACCTGGGAAGTGAACCCCTGCATTCTGTAGGCTGTATGCCACAGGCACAGGTCATCCCTCCCTGCCAGGACATCAGTACATGGTCTTCCATGTGTGTGAGTCCATCGCTGGAACCTTCATGTTTAACCTGCTTTAGTTTCCCCAAATTATATTCAGTTACCTGAACTTGCTGTGAACATTTTTGAATAAATATGACCTAAAGTTTGTATTTTTAGGGCTGGGGATTTAGGTCAGTGGTTCTGCTGCCTGCCTCGCAAGTGCAAGGATCAGAGTTCGATCCCCAATACCAAAAAAAGAAAGAAAGGTTATAAAAGAAAAAAAAAAGTTGTAAAAAAAAAAAGCCAGGTGTGGCGGTACATACCTGTAATCGCAGCACTCATGGGAGGCTGAGGCAGGAGGATCACTGTGAGTTTGAGACCAGCCTGGGCTACATAGTGAGTTCCAGGTCACACTCGACTACATAGTAGACCCTGTCTCAAATAAATAAATTAATAAAGTGGGTTGTTTT